TCGTTCTGCAGGGGATGCCACAGAAAGTGATCTTGAAAGGATGATTTAGCAAATAACTTAATCAGATCAACTTCCTGATGCAACCTGGGTTCAAACCTACAACCTCAAGATTCCAAGATCCACAACCAAACCACTGCAGTCACATCCCATAAGATATAGACTTTAAATGTTACTGTCAGGTCCACGTTCTTTATTGGTTATGTTTTATGATTGAGATTRTTTGTGATTATTTTCTTTGTTTTATGTGTTATTTCCTTTTTAGCTTCCACATGTTACCTGAATGAACTAACTCATCCTCAGTCTGTTCTTCAAAGTCTTTTTATTCCTCACCCTGCCATTTTTATCTATTTTCAGTTTGTAATCAGTTCAGGTGTCTCCAATTCCTCATCAGTTTAGTCTTATTTAGTCTCTTCCTGCTGATCTGAGTTCTTTTCAGTGGCCCTGCATGTTCACTATGATTCTTCTCCTTGTGAGTTCTTAAAATTGTGAGTTTTGCTCAGTGAGTGTGTGTAAATAATGTTTTTTGAGGGGTCTTTTTAAATCTCTTGTGTCCATTGTGGGTCCTACCTCCAGCTGTGACATTTAGTTACTTAATTGTGTAGTTTTCCCAGCACGGCAGTCCAGCACTTTTTAATTATACCATAAAGTATTTGTGAAAGTCATAAACCAGATTATGATGCAGTCACAAATCTTTAGTACAAAGAATAAAAAAAATCTGGTTTAAAAAGAGCTATTACTGTCAGAAAACACCTATCAGTGTTATTTTACTAAAGCAAACTTGTTGTCTAGAGCAAACTGAAGTTATTACCAAAACAATAAAATAAACATTTTCTCACAAGTTATTTTTACTATCTTAGCTTATCTTAAAGACGAGGCTGAGTGAGATCAAATTTGGTCAACTTCTGGCTTAAAATGGTCGACTCTGAAGAATGACACAGCTCGTCTCTCACCCAACCACTGGATCATACTAATGACCCAATAATGGGCCAAACCARCCAAACTCATATGATCCAACAGCATTAACCTAACAACTGAGATCTCAAAATAACACAGAAGTTTTTAGTGTGTACTCATTAACTTGAAATTTGTGCCAAAAACACATTATACTAAAAATCCCAAGTTTGCTCAGTCTTATAGAAGAAAAAAACAGACTCATCAGGACAACAATGAAATAATTCTAAATTATAATAACAATTAAGAATGCCACAAAATAGGTATGTGACAATCCTGGATCACTGGGACAGATGAGTGTACCATTTTTTTGAGATTCAAGTGGTCAATATTCAAACTGTGGACCTATAGTATTCATTAATAGGAAAAATATGTATTTAGTGTAAAATGTTTTTTTTTTACATTCTGAGCAACTCATTTATGACTCTAAAGTGTATTTTTAAGGCCCATAAGCAGTACAATTAGATCGGATCGGTGTCAAAATTTGCCTCTTTCTATTCCAGTGAAATTGTATAACTTCTTCATTTCTCAACTAATTCGAACAAAGTTTGAATAATTTATTTATTTGATTTTAGCTGCRTTCAATAAAATGGGTTTTAATACAATTTTGGAACCATTTCGATTTTTGTCACATACCTACGAAAAGATTATTAAAATATTCAGTGGATCTACAAAAATAAATCATTCATTACTCAACACAATGAACAGTCCTCTCTGTTCTGATGAASCGACAGATTATTTCTCTGAGATGGAAGAATTACAGCCTGCAGGAAAACCCAAACATGTTGCAACACGCTTATAAAGAGGATGCACAAAACCAGTAATCTCATCAGGAAGAGAAACACTGAGCTCACCAGAACAACAGACGAGTGACTGAGAGACGCATCAAGTAGAGCGCTCCAAAGGTAAGAACTTATTTAGTTTTCTTTTCATATTTTTACTGCTTTAGCTTTAGATAATAGTTAAGAT